TCTGCCTGTTCTCAAAGTATGTTTCTAACCTTTATTAAATTTGGATTGAAAACATTTGTCCTGAGTGCAGTTAGTAGTTTTTGTTGATAAGCATGCAAGCTACCACAACCTGGATTTTACTATTCTTATTCTTTTCTTTCTTTTCCCGGTAGAGTATGTAAATCAACCAGAAAACAACCTTCCACCCAACAAAAACCTACGACCACCAGGATCTACACTAGAAAAGCAAAAAAGGCACATGGGCAAAAATGGGCTTGTCAAGGAACCAAAGAATGCATTCTATATGAGTTTCACCAGTGCAGTGGAAAATCCAGAGTACCTGACACCATGCAGTGTCCCTGCATCTAGCCCTTTACCACAAGCTTTTGACAACCTTTATTATTGGAACCAAGAAAATCCTAAATGCAATCCAGCAGAATTCTTTGCCACCTCCATTGTTCCTCCTGCTGCTACCAATGGGTTTCCTCCAACCCCAACAGCAGAGAACCTGGAGTATTTAGGGCTGTCAGAATCAGTCACCTGTTCCAAGGACTTTGCATAAAAAACTATTTCTCATGACCAGTCAGACTGACTTTTCTAATCAAGACACCTCAGGATACAAACCCAGGCATGATGAACCCGATTAAAGCCTTAATGGTCCTTTTAAGGCCCAATAGGGTTGTTTCTCTCATATCTCCTAGCTGAGGAAAGAAGATGGTGGGCACATTTGGATCTACTGCAATAGAATAGCATGGCTTTTTACTCCCTCTTAATTAATACTGGCAGTAGCAAGATTTTCCCTCTGCTACTACCCTAAGATGTGCTGTTGAAAATTTTGGGGTCCAAGTATGGATTTTTGTTTGGCTGGATTGCAAGTTTTGGTCAGTATAGTACTAGTAATTAAACATACTAGTTGGCTCAGAATTTTGCAACACCAAGTATATTTCCATCACCCCAAGTATCAGATGACGGACACTGGTTTTAAATAAAAAGAGGTTAAAAATCCTGCAAACTTGAAGTCTGCCCATTTCTGGGCTGTAAGGCACTACATCTGTGACATTCCTCCGATTCAAGCAGCTCAGCTGCCATTTGGGTACTTCAGCAGAATGGAGTGCTCTTTTACTTCTCACCACATCTGTAGCCTCTGCTTTTAATGTCTTGGGCTCCAAGATAAGAGGGTCAGACTACTAGAAGGGCCTGAAAAATTGCAAGTTGGAATTATAATACATTAAGAAGAGCGAAAATATTCTTACCGGAGTTTGGACTGACAGGAAGAGTGGAAAATAAGGGCAAAACATGATTTTTGGAAATTTTATTATTGCTTAAACAGATATTCTTCAACCTTAGGGTGGGAATAATATGCCATTATAGCAAAGTAGAACAAAATAATTTATGTTTTTTCAACAAGGTACCTTAGAACAAAGAAAGTTTTGCTTAGTGACAAATTAGTTTTGCCATGGTCTTTAAAATTACAAGAAGTTTCTAAAAGAGGCAGTTGAGGAACCAAAACAAATGTATTTAGTTTAGTTTAGTGATGCTAATTCAGAAAGGGAATGTTTGGATTAGAAAGTAATTGATATATATTATATGATATTTGACATGCCACTTCCTAGTTTGTACCAAGAGTACTGACAAAAAGCATCTAACATATTGCTTCAGTTAGAGGCAATAGTAGAAGTTAGTTTCTTCATAGGCACAATATGCCTCCTTTAATAGTGATTTTGAAATATTTATTTTTTAAGAAAGTGAAAGCTGCACACATGCCTCCAGTATATGAGAGGGCAGACTGATAGTGGATGTCAAATATAGATTTCTAAGAGCCTTGCTTTTACGAATGGGTCCAGCGTTGACGGAGGCAAATGTATGTTTGAAGTGCATAGATACAGATATGTCTTCTAAATCACAGAAGCCAGAGATAACTGAGTAAGATTTGTCAGAAATTGTGAGTGAATTTTTGATATTCTGCATAGTCTCTTACTTTCTCTCATGCAGTCAAGGCTAGAGCAAAAAATGTGCAAAACAGAGTACAGAATTACTCAGTATAATTTATGTAGCAACATAAAGGAACTTTTTCATTAAGCACAGATTAAAGGGTGCTTAATTTTTTACTCTCTGAAAGAATTAATTCGTAATCAGTGTATATTTATGCCAGCAATGGTCCTGTTAAAGTTGATTTGTTATCTTCCAGATTGTACTTCCTCTGTTTTAATTGAAGTCTTTCCTCAATGAATTAACTTTTAACTATTACTATTATGTCTAAAATGCTGTATATAAAAATAATTGGTTTGTCTCTAAAGTGAACTTAGTGACATCTAAGTGAATCCCAGGACCGTATTTCTGTGGTATGTTGGAATGGAAGAGTAATATGTCTGAAAAGCATTAGATTGGGGAAGGTTCCTGTAAGTCACTATCTCCCATTCCATGTGTTACGATTGTAGGTTTATTATATACTGCTAAAATTCTTTTGTTTTTAACCTTCACTTAGGCAAAACAGTGCTTCACAAAGCTAAACTTGTTGAATCTATGTACCTCAAATGGGCTAACATATAGAATGCACACCAAATTTGGGACCCATGACTCCCATGGGATTGAAAGTTGGCAATTTTGTGTCCATTTCAATGCTGCCATGCCATCATACTGCTACAGTTAGTTGTAGTCATGTGGTTTTAATTTGCAGTATTCCCTGCCAGCTTCCTACCAGGAAAGTCAGTGGGGAAGTTGACACAAAATCAGGAGTTAATCCCACTCCATTGCTTTTTTACCCACCAGTGGTCATTCTGTTTCTGTTCATTTAGTAAGGAAATATCTCTGAAACAGTGACTCAATAGGTCACGAGTTGTCTTGGTCTTTTTCTAAAATCATTTTGAATAAATACTGTGATTACAACTAAATCTATTTCTTCCTCTCTTTTCAAATCAAATTTGAAAAGAAAGTGGGGTAATGAAATGGAGATGCTAACATTAGTGCACTGTTTTCTGATGTATTTATAGGAAATAGGACAAGAGAAATTAAAACTTTACCAGGTCATCCCAACGCTGACAAAAAAATAACCACTTTCAACATGTACATACAGAGAACAAGTCTGAGGATCTGGAGAAATACCTTTTTGTTATGATATTTGAATATCTAAAATGGCTGTGTATGTCAACAATTCTGAAAGCTGCAGATGGCAGTAGGTTAGGTGAAGATCCTTAAAGAGTAAAGGGATGTAGTGTGATTGGTATAGCTTGTTCCTTGTATATACAGAATGTCTTGGAATTGTAAATACTGTTTACAAAATCTATGGAAGACAATAAGAAACAAATCAATACAATAGAATGTGTATGTAGTTGTTCTAGGGAATGGTTTACTATTTCCGATGTTCACTGTATTTGCATATTCTCCTGCTTTACATTGAAACCTGTGTTTTCCAGCTGGTGCTAAGTTAGATCATTGAAAGGTACCAGCTGTCAGTGGTTTTTTTAAAAAAATGAAAAATGTGTTATAAGTATTTGTATATCTGAGAAATGTATAATATAGTTTTCATTTTCTATAATATTTGTGTTGAAGCTTTTTTATTGTCCCTTAAACTGACATTTCTTTAACTGCTCAATCCCGCATATATAGGGTCACAAATAATCTCTAGAGAAACTCTGCCCTTTTGGCAGAATTTAGATGCTTTTGACAGCAGAAAAATGAGAGGATGATTCCTTTTGCCCATGTTATTGAGATTTCTATGTTTTAACAATTACATAAAACAATTTCCTCAACTTCAATATATAAATTATACAGATCAATTGATCTGAACTAACATAGTACTCTTGAATTAATAACTACATCTTAGAAAAACTAAATTGCAGCTAACTTAGTTGTTTTTTCCCTACTAGACTTTGGATCAGTCACGCTCTCTCAGCCTGATCACCTCACAAGGTTGTTAAGCAAAAATATTAGATATGTTTGCCACCTTGAGTTATTTATAAAAAATAAAGGGGTGTGATATAAATAAAATAAAGATCAGGCAGAGACACTGTAGATTTATTTAAAAGGGGGGGGGAGGGAGGAGAAAGGCCAATAAATGATGAAAGGATGACACTGAGGATCAGTAAAAAGGAGACTTGTATCGTTTTAAAAAAAAAAGATTATGGGGTAGTTGACTTCTCTTCACTTAACCCAGTGGGTCTCAACCTTCCTAATGCCGCGACCCTTTAATACAGTTCCTCATGTTGTGGTGACCCCCAACCATAAAATTATTCCTAAGACTATTGAAAATATGTGTTTTCCGATGGTCTTAGGCGACCCCTGTGAAAGGGTCATTCGACCCCCAAAGGGGTCCCGACCCACAGGTTGAGAACCACTGACTTAACCTGTGCACTGGTTCTATTCACTGACCATTTTAGTAATTAAAAATTGCTTATAGGAACAAGGCATGGATGCTGTAGTACAGACATAAATCATTCCAATTCTTTGGCCAGAACCTAAGGCCAGATCTGAATAATGTATATGCATGTAAGTGTTCATGTATTGTTTTAGCCTTATTTTTTTTTTTCACTTCATGCACGTGCAAGATGGAAGCTGGACTTTTGAACATGTGGAAAATACTTTTTTTTAGAGTGAGATTGTTAGCACAAGGATCTCTTCCTTGGTCAGTGATGGCACCTAGACACTTTCTTTGGAACAACTCCCTGGCTTCCCCTCTCCTTCTATCTCTTGCATGGTATCAGTGAAAGGAACTGTCCACTGGGCTGATCCAGTGAGATTTTTTGCAACCGATGAATAGAAGCAAATACAGGTAATCTTGTGATTTAAGTTTCATGCTGAAAGCAAACCCCTGCAATTGAGACTATCTATTTTTAACAGGGAAAAAAACTAAAAAAAAAATTAAAACCATTTTAATGTTCAAATTTTCTAATTCTAAATTGCAAAATTTTAAATCGTGCCCCATATCATGCCTTGCAAACAGCAATCTTATTTCTTTCAAGCTATTTCCCAAATGTGAAAAGCTTCTCTAATTAATTGATTAGCAGCACTACACAGACAACATATTGCAAGCTTTTTAGCATTTTCTCCTTTATTATAAATTGCAGTAAATAGAGGCTCATCAACAATTTAAACATATAAATTAAGACTCTGGAAGAAGGAAGATTATTCGTGCCTTTCACTGTCTGGCCCCAGCAAAGGGTGCCAATAAGCAGCATTATTTTCAATTACTTCTTAGAATTACTCACTGATAGATCTAAGATGAAAATTGGATTATCAGAATCAAGTCTTAAGACAAGATAGAGGCATCATAGTACAGTGAAAATGACAGTAAAGTAAAAACTAAAAGAAATTATATTGCTCATTCCTACAAAATAAGCTGTGAAACATGCAGTTACAGGGTTGATAACTTATGTTCTAATTTCAATGTTTGCCACATGTACTGATGAGAATACTTACTATCACAATATGATCATGTCATGAAATCTGTATTACTAGTATAATAGATATAGATCTGCAATTTAATCAAAAAGACTGTTATTGGCAAGTAAACACTTCAAGTTAGATAGGTTCACACTCTGATCCAAATGAAACTCTTAAGTCTCACTGATTGCAATGGAAGTGTTAGACTTGTAACTTACTGTTGAAATAACTGAACTACAAAAATACTTACTGGGAGTGGGGTGAAAAGTTCAAGTTTAGTTTTTAAAAGACAATTGAGCTATAAATGTAAGTCACTCACAAAATAATTTTCAAATGTCCTACTATGAATTACTTTCAATTTCATACTTGGCCCAGAACATAAGCACGAAAGAACTGCAGTACTTTCTTTGTCAACAAATCATGTCTAGTTTGGGGATATTTTAGAAGGATGATCATTTGCAAAAGTTCAGAGTAGTGTAGAAAAGAAATTAGAATCTAAGCATTCCCTTCTCATGTGTAGCAACACCATCCTGGTTATCTCAACAGACTTTTACATAAAATTAGGGAAACACTAAGCCTAAGATAAATCTCTGGCAGTTGGGTAGGGGAGCAATAGCATTGTTGTGATTAATTCTCATTCATGTAGTGTGATATGCAGGATGTTTTTCATTTTGAAGGACTCCTTTAGCAACATTGATCCCCAAAATGTTGCTTAAAATATGTGGTCCTTGAAAACATTTGCTGTAGCATCAATTGTACCTATACAGGACTATTGGGAAGACTTCTTATCAAGCTTCACTCTGACCCTGCAGATTTCAAAATGAAGTCAGGTTTTGGCACCAACTCATTCTAAATCCCCGGAAAGGAGCAGGAGAATGGCCAGAAGTTGAGGTTTTAAAGGCAGAGAAGCTAAAAGATCTTAGATGTTCTAAGAAATGTGAGGTTTTACTCCTCTTCATTCAGATGGGGTTAAAAGAAATACAGCAGGAAAAACCCATGCTAGTGTCACAAACATAGAAAAATGAATTACATTAAATTCTCATGGAAAAAAAGATTACCGGTACTTTATTGAATAAGCCCTGTTAAATCACCTCCCAAATATGGCTTAAGTTCTAGTTTATTTTACTTGTTTGTAAACAACCCAAATTACTTTAATGTCTGTCCTGATCTGGTATTTACCTAGTGATGGAATTAATACCAGAAGCAAAAGTTAGAAGAAAAAATTGGAAGCTAAAGTTGGAATCAAAAATTGGAAGCTAAAGTTGGAAGAAAAAACTGGAAGCAAAAGTTGGAAGCAAACGTGACAAGGATTCAGGGAGGGTGGGCAAGTGGAGAACATGGAGTAAATGGAAAAAATACACTAAAGAATGACACAAGGTGGCCGGCTCTTGGTGATTTTCTCAAGTGGCTCTCCATTACTAGCCCTCCGAATGGCTTCAATGAGCTAGAGGGACAAAATGGAGAAAACAAACTCTTTAATTTTTTTTTCATTTTCAGTAGACTTACTGAGTGAAAAAGAATAAACTCTCAAAACACCATCTGAAGTTATTGGGCAAAAAAACCTCTCTTTTAAAGAAATGCCAGGAGTATATCAACGTGTTTTATAATATGAATAATAAAATCAAGGATGGGAAAATAAATCTCTTGTACATAATTTCTTTCCCCATGAACCTTGAAAATGAAGAATTTTTAACTCTCATGTTGCGTGAACAGAGTTTTACATTTCTACAAGGGACTTCTTTCTTCCTCCTCCCTGAAGTGCCCTCTCCCCATCTATTCTACAGTATTATCATCTCTCTGGAACAGGTTTGAAGGAAAATGGCAGCTACTGCAAGAAAAGGGATAATTTTTTTCTATCACATCTACAACAGCTATTCTACCCGTAGGATAGGATAACTAGAGCTAGCCTACAACAGTAATTTTTTAGGAGGAAGTGACTGATACTATTAAAATAATGGTCTCACTTTATCTGGGTGAGACCATGAATTCAGAATACTTTTTTTTTTAACAATACTATTTTATTCCTGGCATGTCTGCACAATATTTTTTCAAATAATGTCAAGGATGAATGTAACTTCTAAAGCAAATATCAGCACCATTTTCAGCATCTAAGCAGTCCTCTACTTTTTAACTAAAACTAGTCCAATCCTACAATATGTTGCTGAGCTCATCTCTGAAACCTTACATGAGAACAATTTGACCATTATCTTAGATATTTAAGCTTTCTTCCAAAATAACTGCTTGAATTGAGGAATAGCAGGGGAAAATAAGAACTCACGTCTTTCTCATAAGGGAATCCTCCATTCTCAAGTTTGGAGAAGATCAATTGTCCATTTATTTCTATTTCAAAGGTACCTTAAAAAAAGATGTTGCATTATAACCAATTCAGTTCATATTACATCCATTCAGAATCAATGACCTGTTTGTGTCACCTTTCTCAAAAAACAACCTATGAAGTGACAGCAAGATTTCATATTCATATGCATAATATACACATCCCTACTCGGATGTGGACAATCCATGTGAAAGTCTACACATTAGAAGACAACTCATCTCCTTGTAGCATAGTAAATTTTTACTGGCTATACAGTAAAGCTCAACATTTCAAAAGTATCTAGAGTTCTTTAATAATTCACCAGATATTTCTTAATAATATATACATATGGATAAGCCCATCCACAGATAAGTTGAACCCAATTTGAGGGATATATTTTAGTACCTCAAATTCTCAGCTTATCCATGAGTATATACTGTATATAGAGGAGAGTTCAATAGGTGACCTAGCAAACAGGGACAAAAATAATAATATTTTTTCCCTATTACTACCACCTCTCTTCTTTCTCATTTTAATCAACATGAGTATGAACTTTATTTTCCTAAGCTCCTAGGGCTGATCATAGGCTAGTTCCCTAATTCTAAGGGGTACAACCAGCCCAAAGACTGGTGTTCCTCTAATGAACATGTACAGACATTAATTTCACAGATTTAGTGTGTTCATTCCATCATATCACAAATGAGATCTTGCTAATTGCTGCTGTTTATTAGCATACATGCTAACTTGTACCTGTGCCCCCAAGACGGGATTCAATCTCCACATCAGGGTACTCTTCTTTTACAGCACTAGCCAGTTCCAGGTAGGCAGATTCAAAGCCACAGGGCTTGCTGAAAATAAATTTAGTGTTGGTGTTAGAAGTTAAGTTGAAGATAGGGCAATAAAGTGAATGTTGGATGGAGGCAATAAAATATTTAATTTTTATATATGGTTCCCTCGAGACTGAAGAATTCACAAAGATTATATGTACTGTTTGCGTATTATCTTTCTTTGGAATGAAGGGCTGGATTCCAATATTTTGTAAATATTACAAAAAGGAGAAAAAAAAACAACCCACCCAACATTGATACATAAAATATAGGAACTCATGCTATTATTCTGCTTTCTAGGCAAGTTTCTGTCATTAAACTCTGAACCATGCCAGACAAACTAGTTATTTGGCTTCTGAGCTTGATAAAATATAGATAGATAGGCTAAATAAACCTTAAGCACACATAAACATTCTCCCACCATCAAGGTGCCAAACTAAATCCCTGTTATTTGTTCTTAAAGTAAGATTTGGTGTGTGAAGAGCCCGGAAAGGGATGTTATTCTGTTCCTAACAATCTGTCAAAATGCAGGTTGAATTGGTTATACCATAAAGTTTATGGCATAAACCAGACTAACTGGGGTATCTCACATGTTTTATTGTACTGTGAGTTATATGGAGTATGTAGGTCAATATATACTGCTCAAAAAAATAAAGGGAACACAAGCAGAAGTCATCCGAGATCTGAATGAATGAAATAGACTTATTAAATACTTTGTTCTTTACATACAGTAGTTTATACACTGCTCAAACAATTAAAGGGAACACAAAACTACTGTATGTAACAAACAAAGTATTTAATAAAGCTATTTCATTCATTCAGATCTCGGTTGTCTTTATTTTTTTGAGCAGTGTATATTCTCCCCTTACTAGAGAGATTGCCAGGGAGGACAGATGACTTTTATGTAGGCTTTCTCCTCGAAGACTCAAATCCAGCTACCATGCAGTGGCAAAATTCTGTCTCACTACAGTGTACACAAGAAAAAACTTCTGGTTACAGAATTATAGATGTCAACTGGTGCCAATTTTTTGGAGATATCTCTAACCAGGGTGGATAAAAATCAATGATTTTTTTGAAAAAATAAAAAAAAATCAGATTTTTTAAAATTTAAATCGGATTTTTTTGATTTTTATCGAATTTATTTTAATAAAAAACTTTTGGGGTAAAAATCTATCGTAAGATAGTTTTCTATTTAAGATACATAAATAATTTAGTTTAGTCAGCATGAAATGGAGCTTAGTTATGTAGCATGAGGCTGTATATTCTGCAACACTGGGACTATCGGTGAGTCAACAGTGGGTCAAAGGAGTAGCAGAGATGACAGTTGCTCTTTAAAAATTATGATTTAAATCGAGTTGATTTAAATCAAGCCTTTTTACTAGTGATTTAAATCATGATTTAAATTGTGATTTAAATCAACTCGATTTAACTCAAATCCACCCTGTCTCTAACAATTATTGGAAAAATACTTTTACTCGCATACATATCGACCCTCCCTGCATGTAAAATTAGCGAGTGACCCTAACGGTTTGAGATCATGTATTTTCATAACAGGGATGTTATTATTCACGATTAATGTCAGTATTATTTTAAATTTATTGTATGTCTATTGATGATAATAAAGTTTTTATTCTGTTCTTCTCAGAGTAGCTGGGGAATTCTGGGAGTTGAAGTTCACGCGTCTTAAAAGTTGCCGAAACGCTGCTATAAACCAACAGTAGTGGTCCAAGAGCAAGGAGATTAAGACGGAAACATGGAGGGAAGAAAACGCGGCTCTCTACTTCCCAGCCCTAATAGTGCAGTTGAAGGGAAACCAGACAGCGAAATCAAGAAGCGCGAGGGAAAATAGCAACCGTCTGTCGCGGCCTCCATGGATGGGCGGGATTATCTTCGGCCGAGGCGTGGCCTTCCCCCCACAGGCGCCTCCCCCCTCCTCTCTTTCGCTCACCAGTATTCCACGACGATATGAATCCCTCTTCCGGTAACGGGCGGGACCTCCGTAGTCGGCTCCCCTGACCCGTCGCTCATCATACCAACTGCTAGCGAGTCCACGGAACCCACCGCAGAGGCTTTCCGTCTCAGTCGGGCCGAAGTTTCAAAAACCCAAGGCTGACTTCCTGTGGGTTGATACCTCATCACAGGCAAGGAAACATACTTCCGGTTTCGGCTCCATGGCGGGTGCCGAGAATTATGTGGGCTTTCAGCGACCTTGCTGGGTCACGTGGTTTCCTCGGATTCCACTATCTCTGCCTCAGCGCCGAGGGCTTGAGCTCCCCCTGCTGATCGTTAGCATAATCATTATGCAGACCAGGGGTCTCCCAATCTTGGCGACTTTAAGACCTGTGGACTTCAATTCCCACAATGCTTTGCTTTGCTGGCTGAGGAATTCTGGGAATTGAAGTCCGCAGGTCTTAAAGTTGCCAAGGTTGGAGACTCCAGATGCAGACCCTATCCGTTCCCTTTAAGTCAGCTGTATCCTCTCTCTCCAGTTCTCCAGGTCGCTACCATGGAAATGCCGCTACCATGGAAACGCCGCAAGGGAGCAGTTCCATTCTGATGGTTAACTCTGGCGCGGTTCCTTTGATTCAGCCATAAGAGTTTGGTGTCAAAGTGGCCATTCTCTCTATTGATGACATGCTAAGTGTCTGCTGCCAAAGACACCTTTGTCTCAAATAACCCTCAGGCACTGTCTGTCCACTTTCTGTCCACAGTGCCTTGCTGTGGAAAATACAAATACAAACTTTCTATCTATATCAACTATATATCAACTATCATCTATATCAAATTCTTGCCTTCAAGAATTGATAAAATTGAAGGGAATCGGGATCACTGGATTTGCCACCTCCACAATCTGGACATATCCTAGCCTCCAAATCTGGTGATGAGCCAGGGCAATTGTTGTTGAAGGAAATAAACTTTTGAGATAGGTTGGTGCTAAGTAGATTTGGCAAAGAGGAATCTAATTGTGGGGTCCTTGGTGGTCTTTGACCATGAGGTTTTCTTGCCGATATTTCATCACCAAACTAGGTAACATCATCAATCCTAGAAAGGAATGGGGAATGGGGATTGCTCTTATGTTTATATACTAGTATCTTGCCTATTGGTGTTGGTGGGAATGTTCTTGGAGGTTCTTGATTAACTATTTACTGTTAGTTTGTCTGCATTGATAGTTCCTTAATTGTTGGTCTAGTGTTAATCTTGGTGTTAATCTCTGCTCCTATGAGTGTTGATTACTAGTGAGAAGGTATTTTGATATTCTTGTTTCATTCTTATTTTAACAGTACAGCCATGAACATCAAGCAGCAGTCAGAAGACATAATGAAAACTCCTTAACTTCATAACAAATGGACAGACTCAACCATAGTTTCAACTATAAAACTGTGAGTATCCTAGCTCAAGCCAAGTCCCAAAATCTCAGAGAATTCCTGAAGCCTGGCATTCAGACAGATTGACCATCAACAGACACATAAAGAAAAGAGAAAATGTAAAAGGCCAAAGGGAAACAGAACTATCTTGTACATCTGCTTCCCTTTCCATCTGGATGATAATATAATACATTCCAGATTTGGGGACCAACTTCACAAATCTTGAGTGGCAGCAGCTTTGGGAATCTGTAGTTTAAAACATCAGGAAGGCACCAGATTGTTTATAATATAGCACTGTTTTATTTTTCTCAATATACATAAAAGAACAAGAGAAAAAAGTGTTGAACAATCCTCTAACGTTTTGATTTTTAAAATAACAGCAATTCAAGATGTAAATCAGTGGTGAAATGCACTTACCGTTGCTACCGGTTTGGGAGTGTGAGTGTGCGCGCCTCTTCTGCGCATGCGTAGAGGGTCAAAAATGTCATGTAATGACATCACGGTGGGTAGTGGAGCCTCCCGCCACTGGCACTACCAGTTTGTGTGATCCGGCTAGATTTCACCACTGATCTAAATAAAATATTATGGAAAACATATTTCTTAAAATTATAACCAGTTCCAAAGGTCTACTTACCACTGTGAAAGCTGCACACTTTTTACTTCCAAATAGGGGGTGATAATCAAGAAATGGGCATTGTATCTGATATATGATACTCAAAACAACTGTTTCTTATGTCAAGGCAAATTTGCATAGATTTGCATAGGTGTGCAAATACTAGCCAATACTTTTATCTAATAATACCTTCTGGAAAACTGTAATATTACCATTTCAGGCATTTCTTTCTTGGCTCTTGAATGATTTTGCTTCCTTGGTTTATTGTGCAAGATTTTATTGTTGTGGGGGGCACGGAGCTGCAACCATCGGAGCTGGCGAGTCCAATCACAAGTGAGGCTGTGGCGGCGGGACATGTCAGGACAGGGCTGGCCAGCCGTTCATCAGCAAGCCACTGTCCTGGCCGGGTCTAGCCGCGAGTGGCACTGGCACCAAGATGTGTGGCCAGTGCAAAGAACAGGGAGGCAACGGTGGCAACAGGACTTCTGGCAGCAGCGCAACACAACTGCTCGTCAGCTGTTCGCCCCTGCAGCCGTGCACTCACTTCCAGCCATGCTTCCCAGGACTCTGCACCATGCTGTTGGCCTGGCCATGCCGCTGCAGCCAGATGTCCCGTCGCCACCGTCGTCTGTTTTTCACTCTGACCACACACCTTATTGCCTGCCGGTGCCACTCGCAGCCAGACCCGGCCAGGACAGTAGCCTGCTGATGAGCGGCTGGCCAGCGCTGTCCTGACATGTCCTGCCGCCGCAGCCTCGCTAGTTGGGCTCACTAGCTCCGATGGTTGCAGCTCCGTGAAGGATCAGAAAATCCTCTTCCCCCATTTTCCTGCTGATCCTCCTTTCCTTGGGGATGATTTATGCCGAAACTATGGATGTGCCGGGAACACATGTGTGCAGGGAACCACAAGGAAAGGAGGTTACCTGAACACAAGAAAGAGCTCTTACCAAGTCAGCAGCAGTGCCTGAATCAAAACAAAGCGCTGCAAGTCCAGGGGCCCTTCCCGTTTGTTGCCCCCCTTTCGGGAAGCATTCACTGCCACCAGTGTTAGGGTATTCAAATTACATCCTGGCGTGTTTTGGAAGGGAGAAGGCGTAGCTGCTGTTGCCTTTGCTGGGGTTTGCACGTCAGCAGCAAGAGACTGCAGGATTCATTTTTATCTCCCTTCCAAAACATGCCGGGACAGCACCGGTGGCAGCAGCTGCTGCAAGCACATTTCAGGAAAGAATCCTGCTTTTCGCTTTTGACATGCTCGCCACTCGTTTGCAGCAACTGGCACAAGTAACTGCCCATGCTGCTGCTGGCTTCATGGGAGCTCTTCGTCCTCCTGGCAGAACTGCTCTGGGCTGCCCTGCTGCCCTGCTCCTGCCTGGCACAGGGTGAGTCGGCTGAGATCTACAATCTTCTGAGTGCCCCCGCCCCCCTAGCCTGCCAGGGCCCCTTCGTCAGAGGCCACCGGTAAAGCCATGCTGCCTCACTTGCCACTGTCTTCAGGTTGCTGAGTGCCTTCCTTAGGCCATTGCAGCCGATTGAGGTAAGACTGTTCTTGAAGGGGGGGAAAGGTGTATTGGGCCTCCTGCTGCTTTTGCAGCCTCAATCAGCTGCAAGAGTAGCCGGGATTCTTTGAGGCGATGACAGGCGGTCATCTGCTGATCAGCTGTTCCATGGACCAAACTGCTGGTAAGAGGGGCAGCTTCCCCCCCCCGCCCCCCCACCTCCCAGTACATGGGGAAAAAATAAAATCTCCCTGAAAATAAAACCAAGCACTTATTTTTGGGGTCAAAAGAAAATAAGACCCAGTCTTATTTTCGGGAAAACACGGTAGTTATTTTATCTTTTTTTGTTGTTGTTTTACTTGTTAATACCTTGTAGGTCACATTAGAATTTTTTTGGAGAAAAGTGACAATGTATTTCAAAATATACATCTTTACTTACAAATAAGGAGCTGTTCTGTGTACAGAATGAATTAATCCTACAACTGGGTTGAACTAAGCAAGGTCAGACCTGGATAATATTAAGAGCCACTTTGGTGAAGTGATTAAGGCATCAGACTAAAAACTGAGAGACTGTGATTTCTAATCCAACATTAGATACAATGTCAGCTGGATGACTTTGAGCCAGTTGCTTTCTCTTAGCCCTAGGAGGAAAGCAATGGCAAAGCACTTCTGAAAAATCTTGCCAAGAAAAGTGCAGAAACTTGTCCACGCAGTCTCTGAGAATTGAACACAATTGGAAGAAAGAAAAAAACCTTATAAGTAAGTCCTTGAAGTTTAATAGAATTTATTTTTATATAAATATTAATATAATCATGTTTTTTCAGTGTATAGATATATAATCTGTAAATCATGCAGATATGAATATGCTATGTAAATACAAAAGTGAAAGAATTGTTTTGATCTCTACCAAGTCCATAATTCCCCTTATTTTTTTATTTTAAACTCCTATCTTAAGGCTAAAAATAATGCATTGATTGATTGATTGATTATGTGTCATCAAGTCATATATAAATGAATTAGATTTCTTTTTTTTTAATTAAAACAAAACTTTATTAATTGTTAAAAAACATTTAAAACATACAAGTTTCTCTCAATCAAGAAACAAATTTACATATACAGTACATAAACTTCACCTATTGACTGATTTCCATTATTCTATATACATATATTATGTGTATTATATGTACATATATACAAACATACAGTAACGTATTTCATATTCTATCCCTCTGACAGTGCTGTTTTTACTTATATTAATTTCTTCTAAATTTCATCTCTACCCATTTCCTTTCCTCTGGTTTATCCATTGGTACCATCTATTCCATATTGCATAATATTTTGAGTCCTCCTTATCCTGTAACTCTAAAGTTAGTTTGTCCATTTCTGCGCATGTATATATTTTTTGTATTAGTTCCTGGTCAGTTGGCAGTCGATCGCTTTTCCAAAATTGTGCTAGCGCTAATCTAGCCGCCGTGATTATATGAAGCGTTAGGTATTTTATGTCATTTCGGATGTTCTTTTTAATAGAAAATCCTAATAGAAAAATCTCAGGTTCTAATTCAATTTCATAATCTGTTATTTCTCTTATCCATGTTCTTACCTTGTTCCAATATTTCTTAATTACCGGGCAGAGCCACCAAGCATGGTAAAAAGTTCCCTGTGTTTTCCTACACTTCCAACAGGTCAGATTTACATTTGGGTACATTTTCGCTAATCTTGCAGGGGCCAGATGCCATCGATACCACATCTTATAATGATTTTCTTTGTAGGCTACCGATTTTGTCATGCTGTAGTTAATTTCCCACACTCTTTCCCATTCTTCTAGTTGTATACTGTGCCCAATGTTTCTCGCCCACGCTATCATCTGCCCTTTAACTAATTCTTCTGCCAAATCATATTCAAGTAAGTATTTATAAATTTTCAAAATTAATTTCCCTTCTTTAGATTCTAATAATTTATCCAATCTGTTTTGTTTCAAATCTATTCCCCCCTCCTCCTGATCTTTCCTGTATCTTATTTTTATTTGTGAGTAGGGCCACCAGTCTATTGCTATTCCTTGTTCTTTTAATTCTTCCCTAGTTTTTAATTTATCCTGTATATCTAATATTTCTCTGTATCGTAATATTTTTTGTTTTGATAATATATTGGGGTGGGTGATTGCTTCTATTGTCGACAACCAACTGGGGACTTTCATGTAATGTTTGCGTTGAATTTGTTGCCATGTATTAATTAAAGATTTCCTAATGGTGTGATTGTTAAAATGTTTATATGTCTTATTTCCGGAGTTCCAAATAAAGGCATGCCATCCCTTCATTAGGTCATGTCCTTCCAGATTTAACAGTCTTTGATTATCCAGAGTTATCCATTCCTTGATCCATAGTAAGCTGGCAGCCTTATAATATTTTTGCCATGCCGGAAAACCGAAACCGCCTCTAATTTTATCATCTTGTAATATATTTAATTTTATTCTCGATTTTTTTCCCCTCCCACACAAATTTTGTAGTTATTTTATCCAAATTGTCAAAAAATTTCTTATCCAATTTTATTGGAATCGTTTGGAATAAATAAAGGAGCCTTGGAAGTATATTTGATTTTATCACTGCTATTCTCCCCAGCAAAGACAACTTTAGTTTCCCCCATTTATCTAAGTTTTCTTTGATTTTCTGGACTAAGGGTTCATAATTGTCCTGTTTTATTGTTACTGTTCTAGCCGTCAAATGTATCCCTAGATATTTCACTTTTTTAACTGCCTGTAATTGTGAGTCATTTACTAATTGCTGTACTTGTTTTGTTGTCATATTTTTTATTATCATATTTGTTTTTTCCTTGTTAATTTTTAGGCCTGCTACTTTTCCAAATTTTTCAATTTCTTTTATTAACTTGGGGGTTGTTTCTATTGGATCTTCTATGAAGAAGACAAGGTCGTCCGCAAAAGCTTGGACCTTGTACTCCTCTCTCTTAATCTTTAGTCCTTGTATTTCTTTATTTGCCCTAATTCTAAGTAACAGTTTTTCTAGCGTTAAGATGAAAAGCAAAGGGGACAGCGGACATCCCCGCCTTACTCCTTTATTTATTCCAAAAAATCTTGTTGGATCCCCATTTACCAATATACATGCTTTTTGGTCCTGGTATATTGATGATATCATTTTCATAAATTTATCACCGAAATTCATACTTCTAATTTGTTCTTTCATAAATTGCCAGTTTACTTGATCAAACGCTTTTTGTGCATCCAGAAAGATCAGGGCCACCTGTCTCTCTGAATGCACTTCATAATACTCTAGAACGTCCATTACCATCCTTAAATTATTTTTTATTTGTCTTGTGGGCAAGAAACCGTTTTGATCCTGATGTATTTTGTTATGTAATATTTTTTTCATTCTATTAGCGATTATATTCATAAAAATCTTATAATTGGTATTCAACAAAGAAATCGGCCTATAATTTTTTATTAATGTGGCATCTGCCCCTTCTTTTGGTATTAGGGAGATATACGCTTCCTTCCATGTGTTTGGTAATTTTGCCTCCAACAGGGCTTCATTATATATTTCTAATAATATTCCATTTAATAATTCTCCAAATTATTAAATTATTCTCCAATTCTCTTTTGTAAAACTCTGTTGGTAAACCATCGGTCCCCGGAGTTTTATTATTTTTCTGTCTCTTCAATGCTTCTTTTAATTCACCTATCATAATCTCCCTATTTAATAATTCTTTTTCCTCCTCTGTTAATATTTGTACTCCGTCTCCTTTTAGATACTGTTCAATTTCCTCTGTTGTTACTATGTCCTACTCATAAAGCTTTTGATAGTATTGAAGTATTATTTCCTTTTTCTTCTCTATGCTTTGTTGGATCTTCCCCTCATCATCTTGTAGTTTCTGAATTGTTCTTTTTTCCCTTTCCTTCCTTAGCCTATACGCCAACCACCTCCCTGGTTTGTTTGCGTGTTCAAAATGGTTCTGCCTTATATATTTCAAATTCAGTGCGTATTTCCCTTGTTCTAATATATTAAGCTTGTGTTTTGCCGCTATCCACTTCATCCTTATTTCTTCTTCCCTGGTTTTCCTTGCAGTTTATGTTCCCAATTTTGAATTTCATCTCATACTTTATTATATTCTTTTTCTCTCTCTTTTCTCCTTTTTGCGTTATACGCTATTGTAAGGCCTCTTACATACGCCTTAGTAGTGTCCCATAAATTTTGTAGGGAGATGGGTTGTTTTGTATTTTCCTTATAGAACAATTCTAATTCTTTTTCCATATACTTCTTATATTCTTTCTCTTTTATTACCTGTAAATTCATTGTCCATCTATTTTTCTTTCCCTGGTACCCCTTCCACTTCATCATTAATGGGTTGTGATCGGCCCAATCGTTTGATAAAATTTCTATGGTTTCTATCTCTCTCATTAACATACCGGATACCCATGCCATGTCTAACCTGGACCAAGACTTGTGTGGATTCGAATAATATGTAAAGTTTTTAGTTTCGGGATTGTAAAATCTCCAACTATCTATCATATTTAGCTCTTCGACCATATCTGTAAAGGTTCTAGGTAGTATGTTTTTCTTATTTTTATTTTGCTGGTCACATTTATAATCTTTTCTTACATCCGAAATGGCATTAAAATCTCCAATTAGACATACATTTTCCATTTTTTGATCTATAATTTTCTCATGCACTTTTTTATAGAATTCTAATTGTTTGCTATTTGGTGCATATATTACAACCAATAATATATTTTTGAAGTCAAATTTTAACTATCATCACAATTCTACCTTCAGTATCTGTATATCTTATATTACTATCTATCCCTTCCTTGATATATACCACTACTCCTCTTTTTTTCTCTTCTGCCAATGATGAATATGCTATTCCTAATTTCTTATATTGTACATAATTTATATCTTGTTTTCTTATGTGTACCTCCTGGAGGCATACTATATCAGATTTTTGTTACAGAATCTTTTTGAAAATTTGGTGTCGTTTAGCTGGTGAGTTGAGACCATTTACATTTACTGATAGGATTCTTAGGGTTCTTTCCATATCTTACTGACTTTCCTGTTGCTTCTTCTTTGTTTCTTCTTGTTCCTTTTTTTTGCCTCTTGTTTGTACTCCTCCTTCCTCCTGAGTCTCTCCTTCTGCCTCTTTTCCTCCCTGTGGTGGGGTTCTTTCACGTTCCCATCTCTGTTTTTGTTTTATATTTCTTCCTCCCTCCTCTTTGCTGTCATTTGTTATCTCACTGCTTGTCATTTGATTGTATAGTTCCCTTGCTTTACTCTGCGAATCCACCTTTATTTTCCTTCCCTGCCATGTTACCAACATTCCTTCGGGTGTCGTCCATCTAAAGAGTATATATCTCCTGTTTAGCAATGTGGCCAGGAACCAATAGTCTTTTCGCAAGTCTCTTATTCTTTTGGGAATTTGTTTCAAGGTTATTATTTCTTTGTTCTTATAAAACATAGGTTCATCCTTTGTTATTTTGTATATGATATCCCTCACCTTTCTTCTTACAAATCTTATGTGTACCTCCCGAGGAAGTTTATGTTGTCGGGCATAATTTGTGTGAAGCCGGTACACTTCATCTAATTCATTTATTATTTCTTCCCTTTCTCTTTGGAGAGCCTCAGCTATCATCTCCGCCATTATCATCGTCAAATCTTCTTCTCTTTCTTCAGCTACATTTTGGAAATGCAGAAAGAATGCCGCTTTTTCCATTTCCAGTTGGGCTACTGTGTTCTCAAGCTCTTTATTTAATCCCG